AGAGAGAGAGAGAGAGAGAGAGAGAGAGAGAGAGAGAGAGAGAGAGAGAGAGAGAGAGAGAGAAAGAAGGAAAGGAGGGAAGAAACACAGCAGTGTGGGAGAGAGGCCAATGACCTCCCTTCCTCCACCTTCTCCTTACCTCCTCCCCTCCCCTTCCCTCCCTGCCTCCTCCTCCCCCTTCCTTCCTCTGCTCCTCTCTCCATTCCTGCCCTTGTCTCCCTCCCTCGCCCTGCCCCCCCCCTCCTTTCCCCCTGGACCCTCCATCTCTTTCTCCCCCCCCTCGCCTCTTCTCCTCTTTTTCCCCCTTTTCTTCCCCTCCCCTTCCCCCTCCCCCTCTGTACCCCCCTCAGCTCTCCTCCTCCTCCTATTTCTCATCCTTTTCTCCCTCTCCTCCTCCTCCTCTTTCTCCCCCCTCGCCCCTCCTTCTGCCCATCCTTCTGCCCATCCTTCTGCCCATATCCCCACCCCCTTCCTCCCTCGCTATCCCCTCCCCCTCCCCCCTCTTTATGCCTGCCTTCCAACCTGCCTCGGCTGATTTATGAAGTGTCCCTGGAAAGGAATAGAGAGAGAGAGAGAGAGAGAGAGAGCGAGAGAGAGAGAGAGAGAGAGAGAGAGAGAGAGAGAGAGAGAGAGAGAGAGAGAGAGAGAGAGAGAGAGAGAGAGGTAAAATATATACAAGTTACTTTATACGTACAAAAGAAAACAAAATAAGAAAAATAATGAAATAGTTATACAAGAGCCCTATATCCATATATACTTAACATATACGATTATATCTCACATACAAAACAAGGTCATATATGACACAAACAAACAAACAAACAAAAAACAGTAACGTTAAGAGTTATATACTTACGTAAGAGTGTACTGTACTGTTTTGTACTTTAAAAAGGAGAAAAATAAAACAGGTTTAAGCAGTGAGCAGGTAAGCAGATAAGCTATCAGGTGGATTATACCGCGAGACAGGAAATTCAATCTTCTTTATCACATGCTTCGTCTCTCTCCTTTATTTCTCTCTTCTTTGTGTTCTTCTCTTTTCTTCCATTCGTTTTTTAACTCGTTTATTTCATTTTTTCTTTCTTTTTCTATTTAGTTTCTTTCTTCTTTCCTTTTTTCTTTTTTCGTTTCATTTTCTCGTCTCTCTAGGTCTTTTTGGTTTTCTTCTGTCTCGCATCTTTCCCTTCTTTTTCTCTCCCTCTCTTTCTCTCTCTCTCTCTCTCTCTCTCTCTCTCCTCTCTCTCTCTCTCTCTCTCTCTCCCTCCCTCTCTCTCTCTCTCTCTCTCTCTCTCTCTCTTTTCTCTCTCTCGCTTCCACTTTATTTTTTCAACTTTTTCTTGTCTTCTCAAGACAGAGAGAGAGAGAGAGGGGGGGGGGGTGAGGGAGAGAGAGAGAGAGAGAGAGAAAGAGAGAGAGAGAGAGAGAGAGAGAGAGAGAGAGAGAGAGAGAGAGAGAGAGAGAGAGAGAGAGAGAGAGAGAGAGAGAGAGAGAGAGAGAGAGAGATTGAGAGAGAGAGGCAGACAGAAAGAGAAAGAGAGAGAGAGAGAGAGAGAGAGAGAGAGAGAGAGAGAGAGAGAGAGAGAGAGAGAGAGAGAGAGAGAGAGAGAGAGAGAGAGAGAGAGGGAGAGAGAGAGAGAGACAGACAGACAGAAAGAGAAAGAGAGAGAGATAGAAAGAGAAAGAGAGAGAGAGACAGAAAGAGAAAGAAGAAGAAAGAAAGAAAGAAAGAAGGAGAGAAATGGGGGGGGGGGGGAGCGGGGTTCTAAATGACATGTCGTCTTAGACTCTGATTAGCAACACGCGGATGACGGGAGGCTGAAATTGGCTCTCTCTCGCGTTCTCTTTTCAGGGATGAACGTCAGGGTAGTGTATGTATATATGTATGTATATTTATATATATACGTACATACATGTATACACACACACATACATACATACATACATACATACATACGTACATACATACATACATACATACATACATACATACATACATACATATATATATATATATATATATATATATATATATATATATATATATATATATATATATATATATATATATATATATGCCCTGATGAAGCAGTTAATGAGAAAAGGTATATTCGTGTGTTGTCCTGCATTTCCCTTCGTTGATCTACTGGCATACATACGTACACACACACACAGACAAACATACAAACACACACACACAAACACAAGCACACATACAAACACACACAGAACACACACACAGACAACATACAACACACACACAAACACAAGCACACATACAAACACACACTCACCCACAAGACATAGGTCGCACAAAAGTCACGCTATCGCCTCCCTTATCGCGAGATCCCGCCCACGCCCGCTCGCTCGTCCTGCCTCGTGTCCTGCCTCGCCCGCGCCTGCATAAAGGACTGCCGGCTGGGCGTGGGTCGGGAGCAGTCTCCGGAGACATGAAAGGGTTAAGCGGAACCGGGACGGGGGGGAGGGGGGGGGGAAGGGGGGGGTCACTGCCCTCGCGCGACGCCCTTTTCTGAAATGGGCGGTCGGGGGGGGAGGGTGAAGGGGTGGGGGGTTCGTGTTGAGGGAGAGGGTGGGGGGAGGGGGGAGGGGGTGGTTCGATATGGGGGGGAAGGGGGTGGGGTGGGGTGGGTAGCACGATCGTTCTGTCGTCCTTTTCACTGGAGTTGTTTGTTTGTTTGTTTGTTTGTCTCGTATCGTATATTATTTTTTCATACACTTGGTAGATGAATTAATCTATTTTAAGCATTTTCTTCTCTTCTTCTTCGTTGTCCTTTTTCATATTATTTATTTTCCTTCTCATGACCGTCTATTTTCTTTCTCTTTTCTTACATTTTGAAAGATATTTCTTGTCCTCTCTTTTCATTTCCACTTTCTCTTAATTTTCCCCTTTATTCTTCTCTCTCTCCCATTCCCTATCTTCCTCTCCTTCGTCCTCTTCGTCTCCTGAATTATCACCCACTTCTTATTCTTTTTCTCTTCTTGTTATTTTATTTCTCTTTTTATATCATTTCCGCTCATCTTTTCATTACATAATCATTTTGTTTATCTTTTACATCAGTATTGACTAACGTAATAATATATCTATTCTTATAACTATTCTTATAAGTAAATTTATTTATTCGTATAACTGTTATAAATAAATATATTTATTCGTATAACTGTTTATTATAATTCTTATCAACGTTCGAATTGTATCAGTAATGACTAACATAATGTTTTATTTATTCATCCATCTGTTGTTTATTTTCAATTTTCATCATAATTTACATATCATCGTCGTCCATCTTGATAAGAGTTCTTTAGTCATTAATATTCATCGTTTCTTGGCCTTTCCGCTCGACTGACTTCAATTACTGTGCAATGGGAAAGTGCATTATGATTTCACCTTGTTTAGATTCTATGCAACATCCGGGATCTTTTTTTTTTTTTTAAATCTCAACCGTTGGGATTTATAAACGTAGAGAGTTCAATTATCAATTTTTTTTTTTTTTTTTTTTTTTTTTTTTTTTTTTTTTTTTTTTTTTTTTTTTTAGAAAATTGCTTTTAGTGAAACGGTTTCTCGAGATGTAAGTTGAGAGGGTAAATGGAGGGTGGGAAGGGGGGTGGGGTGGGGGTGGGAGGGGGAAAGGGTGTGTGTGTGAGGGGGGGAAGGGGGAGGAATTTTCTTGTCATACCCATGAGATTTTTTTTATTGTATTCTATTTAAAGAATCATATTCAGTTGCGTAGAATTCCGGAATATTTGACATTATATTTTTTTCTCCTACGTATGAAGACATATATTTACAATCTACGTGACTTTAGAAGAAAAAAAATATATATCAGTGGAATGCCTTTTAAAAACTATAATATATAGTTAAGTCCATTTCCCATTTGCTGCAACATTGTGTGTGTGCGTGTGTGTATGCATGTGTGTATGTGCATGTATGTGTATGCATGTGTGTGTGTGTGTGTGTGCATGTATGTATGCGTATGGATGTGTGTCTTACCTTACCAAAAGCGTTAACGACCAATCTATGTTTTCTGAAATTCGTTTTTACGACGAAGAACCATCCATCCGCTGAATTAGGACACGCCCGCTGGGTTTCATCTCCACAAAGGGGCGGTGTTCGAGGTAATCAAAAGGCACATACACTTAATCTGATTCTGGAATTAATTAACAAGGCAATTAAAGATATGCTGATATTGCTGTTTATCTCTCTATTTAAAAAGTGTGTATACTGATAAGGGCTGTGGTTTCTGTAGAATTAGGAATGGGAATGTACTGTTTTATTATCATCATCCTTATCTCCACGTTTTATAATTGCTGTCTGTGTTGATAATGTCTTTATCATTATCACCTTTGGTATTGTTAATTTTCATTCCACTTTATTTTGATGTTAATGATTATCAGTGTTAGAGCGAATATCATTATTTATATCATTACTACTATCACTGACGCATTTATTTCTGTTGCTACTACTGCTACTACTACTGCTACTTCTACTATTACTACTACGACCTTCACGTTCACTGCATTATACTGCATTACAGATGTTTGTGGTTTTATTAGGAAATAGATTTTGTTATTGTCGTTAATGGTAGGGTGTGTGTGTGTGGGGGGGGGGAGTCACCATCGCAATGAACACCATATGATGATCATTTCACCTCCATTTCAAGGGGCAACACCATACGATACGACCCTCACATTCACCACCATCTCTCATCACCACACACAACCCCCCCCCCCTTCTACAGTCACCACCATCTTCCACCACCACACGCGACCCTCTCCCCTCCCCCCACACCCACCCCCACATTCCCCACCACCATACACAACCCCCTCCCCCTTCCACCCACCCTTCCGCAATCACCCCTACATTCCCCACCATCTCCCATCCCCATCTCCCCCTCTCCCCTCCTCCCCCACCCCCCACTTCCCCCCCCCCCCCCCCCCCCCCCCCCCCACCAACACCACCGTCACTCACCTCTTGGCCTCCCTTCCAGGTGCCAGTGGACGGCCGCGGTTAACCCCCAGGACGCGGACTTGTCACTTCGATACCAGGATGGAGAAAGGCCCGAATCAAGGCGTAAGTTTGCTTGGTTTTCGTTCAGCTGATAAGAAGAGAGAGGAGGTAGAGAAGAGAAGATAATAAAATGGGTGATAAGGGATAGGGTGAAAAGAAAAAAAATGATACGTGAGATATAAGTATTAGGTAGGGCGGGAGAACTGATAAAGATAAAGGATGTTTAGGGATAGGCTGAGAGATAAGATTGTAAGGATAAAAAGAAATAGAATGAAATACAAAGAGAGTTTTAGATAAATGTGCCGTAGGATTTTTATTTTTTTTATCTGTCATCCGGATCGGCGCCTGTCGGTCGTAAATGGTTTCAGAGATGCAGCTTCTCGCGGCATCTCTCTCTCTCTCTCTCTCTCTCTCTCTCTCTCTCTCTCTCTCTCTCTCTCTCTCTCTCTCTCTCTCTCTCTCTCCCTCTCTCTCTCTGGATATATATATTTCTATCTTCTCTCACTAACGCCCCCCCCCTCTCTCTCTCTCTCTGAATATATAACTATCTTTCTATCTTCTCTCTCTAACTCTCTCTCTCTCTCTCTCTCTCTCTCTCTCTCTCTCTCTCTCTCTCTCTCCCTCTCTCTCTCTCTCTCTCTCTCTCTCTCTCTTTCTCTCTCTCTCTTTCTCTCTCTCTCTCTCTCTCTCTCTCTCTCTCTCTCTCTCTCTCTCTCTCTCTCTCTCTCTCTCTCTCTCTCTCTCTCCCTCTCTCTCTCTCTCTCTCTCTCTCTCTCTTTCTCTCTCTCTCTTTCTCTCTCTCTCTCTCTCTCTCTCTCTCTCTCTCTCTCTCTCTCTCTCTCCCTCTCTCTCTCTCTCTCTCTCTCTCTCTCTTTCTCTCTCTCTCTTTCTCTCTCTCTCTCTCTCTCTCTCTCTCTCTCTTTCTCTCTATCTCTCTCTCTCTCTCTCTCTCTCTCTCTCTCCCTCTCTCTCTCTCTCTCTCTCTCTCTTTCTCTCTCTCTCTTTCTCTCTCTCTCTCTCTCTCTCTCTCTCTCTCTCTCTCTCTCTCTCTCTCTCTCTCTCTCTCTCTCTCTCTCTCTCTCTCTGGATGACCCCATTAATAAAACATGACAAGGTCGTATAATCTTGTCCAAACGTCATTACTTTTTTGATTGCTTAATTATAGAATTAATTTACATTGAAAGACTACATGTGATATTTAATCGTATGTTAAGTATTGTTTTTTGTTTTTGTCTATTCATCCATTTATTTATAACTATCTCTCTGTTTATTTTGAGGTAAACCAGGTCCATTTGCATCGGTTTATAGGCAGGTGTTTTTTTTGGAAAGTTCATCTCTCTTCTATTTTGTCAAGATTCATTCAAGTTTCTATTCTCATTTTAACTTATTTTTCCCATCTTTCTTTTCTTTCTTCTCTCTCCCTCCTTTCCCCCCAGATTTTCCATTACACTTTGTTGTTGTTTTTTCCGCACGTAACGTATCATAGGATATTTATAGAGGTTTGCATGTCATTTGGGTTCTGGATTCCTTATCGTTTCCCTTATAACAAAATGGCGTCGGTAACATGGTGTTGGATCCTCTCGAAGTCGGATTGTATCCCGTTCCCGTTCTTGCTTTCCCCTTTTTTCAACTTTATTATTATTTTTCTTTATTACTTATTAAACTTTCGTTTTCTGAATCTAGACTTAATTATATGTATATATTTTTTTCTGTTTCTTATTGAGCTATGTATTCTAAACCCAGACCCACTTAATATTTTTTTCATTTCTTATCAAACTTTTTTTTCTTAAGCTAGACCTTTTAATAATTGTTTTCCATTTCTCATTAAACTTTGATTTCTTAATCTACACCTTTTTATTTTTCATTTTTTTGAAAAATTTCTTACTAAACCTCTATTTTTTTAAAATTATTTTCGAAACTTCACAACGCTTCATACTCGACTTTGTCTTAAAACCTGCATCAAAAAAACAAAAACATATAAATGAATAAATAAATATAGACAAAGATAGATAAATAAATAAATAAATATAAATAAAGATAGATAAATAAACAAAAAAAATAATAGACAACTAAAAATAGTCTTTTTCTGAATTTCCTTGTCTCTCTTCACATCAAAATTCATCATTAATTCACTTCATTATTTTTTTTTTTTTACGACCGATGCAACAGCTTCCTCCTTAACGCTGGACTAAAAAGGAATATTTTAGGTCATTCTTCAGCCTTTTCGCTTCGTCTAAAGTATTCTTCATTTTCTTCTTGTTGTATTTTTAGTTTTTTTTAAATTTTAAAACTTTTTTTCGATTTTGTTTTCTTTTTTCTCCTTTTTTTTTCGTTGTTTTCCTCTTGTTCCTTTTTTCGTCTATTTCGTATGCATTTTCTGTTTTCTTATTGTTTGCTTTTTCTTCTTATTATTATTCTCTTACTTCTTCTTCTTCTTCTTATCACCATCATCTTCTTCTTTTTCTTCTTCTTCTTTATCATCATCATCATCTTCTTCTTCTTTTTTATCATCATCTTCTTCTCTTTTACTTCTTCTTCCTTTTCTTCCTCATCTTCCTCATTTTCTTTTTCTTCTTCTTATTCATCACCATCATCATCTTCTACTTCTTTATCATCATCATCATCATCATCTTCTTCTTTTTCTTCTTCTTCTTCTTTTTCTTCTTCTTCTTCTTTTTTTTCTTCTTCTTCTTCTTCTCCATCTTCTTCTTCAGTCTTTACTTTCCGATCTTCTTTATCGTTTTCTACATTTTTCTTGTATTTCATAATCCTTTACATTCTCCTTCTTATCTGTCACTGCTAACTATTTCTTATCTTTTCTGTTCTATTCCTTTTCTTCTCCTTCTTTATCCCCTCTTTCTCATCCCTCCTCCTTTCCTATTTACACTTTCCTCCTCTTCCTTACTCTCTGCGTCTATTTTCTTTCTCTTTTTCTATTCCTTTGTCTCTCAGTCATCCTCGTCCTCTCCATCACCCTCTTTCGTCTCTTTTCTTCCTCCCTCTCCCTCCTCCTCATTCTTTTTCTTCTCCCTCTTGCCTTCTTCCTTTCCTTCTTCCGTTTACCTACTTCCTCCTCGTCTTCAGTTTCTCTTCTTCCCTCTTCCGTCTCCTTTATGGCCTCACCCTTAGTGTCTTCTTCTTCTTCTATTTCTCTTCCCTCTCTCTCTCCCTCTCCCCTTTTACCTCAGTCCTCCTCTTTCTTTCTCCCTCTCTCCTTTTATTTCCTTCCTCCTTTTCTTCCCTCTCCCCTTTGTTTCATTCTTCCTCTTTCTCCCTCTCCCCTTTACTTCCTTCCTCCCTCTCCCCTTTACCTCCTTCCTCCTCTTTCTCCTTCTCCCCTTTTACCTCCCTCCTTCCTCCTCTCCCTTTTACCTCCTTCCTCCTCCTGTTTCTCCCTCTACCCTTTACTTCCTTCCTCCCTCTCCCTTTTACCTCCTTCCTCCTCCTCTTTCTCCCTCCCTCTCCCCTTTACCTCCTTCCTCCTCTTTCTTTCTCCCTCTCCCCTTTACCTCCTTCCTCCTTCTCCATTTTACCTCCTTCCTTCCTCCTCTTTCTCCCTCCCTCTCCCCTTTACCTCCCTCATCCTCTTTCTCCCTCTCCCTATTACCTCCTTCCTCCTCTTCTTCCCTCTCCCCTTTACCTCCTTCCTCCTCTTCTTCCCTCTCCCTTTTACCTCCTCCCTCCTCCTCTTTCTTCCTCCCTCACCCCTTTACCTCCTTCCTCCTCTTCTTCCCTCTCCCTTTTACCTCCTCCCTCCTCCTCTTTCTTCCTCCCTCACCCCTTTACCTCCTTCCTCCTCTCTCCCCCTCTTCCCCTTGCCACCCCTGTCTGACCCCGTCGGCCTCTCCCCCCCCAGTGCTGCTGAACCCCCTCAGCATCTTCGGAAACCCCAGATGCAATTACGGAGGCAACGAAGGGGTCTGCTACGGGGAAGTTGAGTGCCTTGCTCTGGCAGGTCAATATGGCAACTTCTGCTCGGGTCTCCATGGACTCTGCTGCCTGTGTGAGTGAAGTGACCCTCGAGTTGGAGTGAATTCAGGGCCATTTTTCTTATCTTTTTTTTTTTTTTTTTTTTGTGCTTTTTGCTTTCAGTATGTGGAGTTGGTGATATTAACTCTTAGGGTTTTTTTTTTAAGTTTGTGTTTTGGAGATATTGAGATTCTTTTTTTTTTTTTAATTCTGTGGTTTGTTTGGTGTAGAATCCTTTTGGTTTTGCAAGGATTTAGTTACACAGAGGATTATATATTTTTGTATATAGAATTCCATGTCTAAAAACGGCTTTGCGTAGTTTTTTAGATATCTGATTACATTAATTTTCCTCACATTTATTTCGTGAATGTTTTCTTAATTACACTTTCATATTGGTTCAACTTCAATAGGACTAATTTACGTTGCATTATATATTTTCTATCTGTAAACGTAAATCATACATGTAAATTATATATGTAAATCATATATGTAAATACATTAACCATGTGTGCTAACTAACTCAATTTATAATACTTACCTGTAAGGACCAGTTTCATTCTCTAGTGTTAAGATCAACCAAATGATAAAAGAACAAACACAAGGCATTACAAATAAACGACCTAGAAGAAGACTTTAGAAGACGAGACACACGAACAATTCCTCAGAGAGACTTACTTTTATCATAAGCACTCTGCAAAAGCCAATTTAGCTTAGAGATTTCTTACTAAGTGACCATAAATTCCTTCCTTTGACTAAGACCGCCGCTCTAATGGCCAGTAAATACAAGACGGATAAACACAATACAATAAAGACAATCTTGTAAATATAATCTTGCTTTCTCAGACTTGAAATGAAAATCTTGCAGTCTTACTTTCTTGCAGTAAATACAATCTTGGCGAACATAATGATCAAGACGACAGGCATTTTCTCTCCTAGACACCTGCGTTTTCCACACCCTCCTGCCTCGCCTCTCTCCAGCAAACCCGTCTTTCTCTCTTTCCTTTGCATTCACTGGTTTTTATTCTCATTTCTCACTGCCTCCCTTCCCGTTCGGCGGCGGCAGCTCGTAAAGGAATGCAATAGATAGGACCTGTTTTCTGTACGTGTTGTTGCAACGATTATTATGCAGTTGCTTGGGTCCAGGGTCATATAACGATGCTCTTATAACGATGGTATGTTTCATTTTGCAATTATTCGGGGACAAAAATAATACGCGGCAAATAAGCAAAATAAAGTGAACGGTGTAAGAGAAAAGGAAAGATAATTCTCGGTTGGAGTAACATTTAAGCATCGAATCAGCGCGACGCCTCGAACGCTGATCATTGAACTTCGTAAAGCCTATTGAGGTTCATGTCGGAAAGAGTCTGTTGCAGCTTGTTGCAACTCATCCCCTGATGCAAACAGATCACAGAGTCCGAAGCGAAGCTGTTAGCTTGAGCGACCTCGAACAGGCGAACATATATGCAATCAGCCCAAGACAACAGGTTTGGTCAGAGATTGTGCCCCGTACTACAGGTCCTTAGAATCCAACCGAGATGAAGAAATTATAATAAATAAGTTTCTCACCCTCTCCCTCGTCCTCACACTGACCAGTACTTCGGGCTCTGGCTACTCGGTGGGGCTGGAGCGACTTGAGGCCCGTTTAACCAGGAAGAGATTCGTCGGTTCGGCATAATTGGCAGGAGAAACTAGCTCCCTGGATCCTTTGCCAGGGGCTTTCGCATCTCGAATGATTTTAGGAAAGTTTATGAGTTTGGTGGGAATTCGTTCCGGCTGTGAATAAGGGCGGGGGCTTTGTCAATCCGATTCGGGAGCGTTGTGGTCTTGAGACGTCTCTTTCTTTATCTCTCTTTACATGTATCCACACATTTATTTTCGCGAGTATGTGTGTCCGCGACCTCCCTAACTGTTTTATCTCTCTCTTCCTCATCCGTCCTCCAAAATTCCGGTCTCGGCGAGTCCCCCCCTGAGGAGAACCGGAGCGAGAAAAGAAAACGGGACGAGAAAAGAAAACGGGTCGCCGACGTCCTTCACCGGAGTCGACCTCGTTTCGTGCCCAGCCTGACCCTCCAGCCTCGAGGCGCGGGTTGTCGCTTGTCGCTTCTTTACGGCACAAAATTGCACACCGCCGGCTGATTTGCGCGACAGTAAACAAGCTCTGAGCAACAGAGGATCTTGCAGTAATAACGAGCTTCGGCGTTCGGAAGCATGGGATTAACGAGGGACGGGGGACCAGGAGGAGGTCGGTTCACTGAGAGAGATTAATCGCATGAAACGCAATTGCATAATTGCAGATAATTGCACCTTCCAAGTAGAGAAAGTCTCCGTGGCGATTCCTGGGGGAGGGGAGGGGGGATGCTTGGTAGTTTCGCTGCTCTGAAAAGGATGGAACAGAGAATAATCAAGATATAAATACAAGATCGAGGGAGATTTCCCTGGAACATCAACTGCACTAAATTTAATTCAATCAGGAGGCTAAATTTCGCTTCGTTAAACCTCTCGCGAACTTCCTGCACTAACAACTTCTACTCCTTTATTGCCCCTCCCTTCCTCCCTCCCTCCCCCCTCCCCTCCTCCCCCATCCATCCTATCCCCCTCCCTCCCTCCCTCTCTCACCCCCTCCCCCCATCCCTCATCCATCCTACCCTCCCTCCCCACTTCCCCTCCCTCATCCCTCTATCCCTCCCTCCCTCCCTCCTTCCCTCCCTCCCTCCTTCCCTCACCCCCTCCCTCCCCAACTCCCTCCCTCCCTCCCTCTCTCTCCCCCTTCCCCCTATCCCTCATCCATCCTACCCTCCCTCCCCACTTCCCCCCTCCCTCCCTCCCTTACCCCCCCTCCCTCCCTCCCTTACCCCCCTCTCCCCCACTCCCTCCCTTCCTTTGGTCGGTCACAGGGTAAAACTGGCCAAGACGACAGCTATACTCGAAATCTCTCTAAGCCACCAGCCTACCCTGCCCACGCACCCACCCAGCATCCTGGAGAGTGGGTAGAACTCGCATCCTCATCTCCCCGTCTAAGAAATGTGGATGCCCCCCCCCCCTCACCCCCTTCTTGACAACTGGTCCTACTACATGGAGTGATTGATGAGTTAACATTTCAGAAAGTTAGGGATACTGAAAAAGATAAAGAGGGAAGAGATTTTGCCACAAGAGAATGAAAGAGAAAGAGAGAGAGAGAGAGAGAGAGAGAGAGAGAGAGAGAGAGAGAGAGAGAGAGAGAGAGAGAGAGAGAGAGAGAGAGGGGAGGGAGAATAATCAATCTGAATGCCTGTCAAGCTCGACGTTTGACATGCATTTAGGTTGATCCTTCTCACTCTCTCTCTTTCTCTTCCTCTCCCTCTTTATCTTACTCTCTCTCTCTCTCTCTTTCTCTTTCATTCTCTTGTGGCAAAATCAAAGAAAAAGACTAACAGTAATTATAATGCACACAGAATACTAAAATATATTGAAAGTCAATCCAAGGCATTATGATCATGACATTGATAACACAACCAAAATATTAGCAGTTAAAAAAAAATGCACTTTCGTACTAGCCATCTGTACAATTTATCTACATCATTACTTCAAAGCGATAATAATCAGTTACAAACTATATTTTCGACACATTACTGACACAACCTTAATTTGCGCGAAAGGGACAACAAACAAACAAACAAAATACACAACGATAATACTGATCAAGATTTTTCTCCAAGATAATCACAAACACTTTTCAATATATGACTGATGCAACTCTAATTAAAAACGAAAATGACAGCAAACCAATGCAATGAATTCGTGACGGTGATCATGGCAAAAAACACACACACACAAATCGTATCCTATTTAAATAATGTCTGTCTGTTTTCATCTTCACGACACGTAATACACAATACTAATACTAAGTTCATGGTAAACACACACACACACACACACACACACACACACACACACACACACACACACACACACACACACCAAATCGCATCCAACTTAAAGAATTTGTATCTGTTTTCCTTTTCACAACACATTAATCCTAATACTAATCGAAGTTCCTCTCCTACGCTGCAGTCCATCGCACTTGCGGCCAGAAAACGTCTCAGATTGTGTCTTACTTCAAGAACGTTCAGTATCCGTTGGAAGACATATCTCCTGAGGCCTGCTCGTTTGAGGTCGTGACCCGCTCCGATGAATACTGTGGATTGCAGTAAGTCTCTTGTTGAAGTCATTTTGTTACTGGAATAAGGCACTGTGGACTATTATGATAGGATGTGATACTGTGTTGTTAAAGTCAATTTGTTTTTGGAATATGATAGAATATTGTGGTAAATGATACGGCATGATACTGTGTTTTTAAAGTCCATTTGTTTTTGGAATATGATAGAATATTGTGGTAAATGATACGGCATGATACTGTGTAGCTAAAATCCCTTTGGTTTTGAAATATTATAATATAGTGTGATATCATAACACGATAAGCTGCTGAAGTCCCTCTCTTTGGTACTGAAATAGGATAAGATATTGTGTTGCCGAAGTCACTTCGGTATGAAAATATGATGTATTGTGGTATCATAAAACACGAGAAGTCCCTGTGTTGCTGAAGTCATTTTGGTATTTGAATATGTCACTGTGATATCATAATGCGGTAAATCTCTGTGTTGCTAAAGTCAGTTTGGTATTGAAACAGGATAAGATGTATTATAATACGATACGTTTTTTTGATATTATGATACGATAAGTCACTGGGATGTTGAAATAAGTCACTGTAGTTTTAAAATAAGTCACTGTGGTGTCGAGATAAGTCACTGGGGTGTTGAAATGTCACTGTAGTTTTGAAATTCTGTCAATCTGTTGTTGAACTAAGTCGCTGGGGTATTAAAATAAGTCACTTAAATTCCTATTTCTTTATTTTCTATTTTTATTTTTTTATTATCTATTATTATCATTTTTTTTACTCCAGGGTGGACATGGAAGACGCCGACTTCCCCCAGAACCACGCCGGGGAATGCGACGGCACCTTCTTCCACTTGACGGGGATCCGAGGCGACCGACTGTCTCCCAAGTGCGGCCGACTCACCGGAAGCTCGTGTGAGTACCATTGGCTGGTTCAGGCTTTATTGTTGTTGTTGTTTTGGGGGTGATTGGGCTGTTGTTGTTGTTGTTATTGATTTTGTTGTTGTTGCTTTTGGTGTTGTTTCATGTTTTAATGTGTTTTAAATGTAAGTTGTGATTTCTATGATTGTTGTTGTTAGTGTTGCTTTTGAGGTTTCATGTTTATTGTGTTTTGAATGTAAGTTGTGATTTATATGTTTTGTTGTTGTTATTGCAGTGGTATTTTGTTGTTAGAGCTTATGTTATTATATTTTAGATATGCAATATGCTTTTATGTTTTTATTTATTCATTTATCTATTATACATATTGTGAGGGGATTTACTAAGGTCAGTTAGTGTTTCGTATGGTGCAGATAAGGCATGGATTTATTATTATTCACCTTTACTTTCATTCTTATCGCAACATTCACCACACTATCGTTATCAGCCCTTTAACATCACCACCACCAACCACATCACACTTGCCATCAACATCAACAACACCAGATTCCACTCACTGAGAGAAAAATATATGTTAACCACATCTTCCTTATTAACACCAATATCACTAAATTCTCCCACTAAGAGGAAAAATACATTAACCACATCATTACCACTACCACATCATCGCCTACAGCCACTAATGGAAAAAATATATTAATCATAACATAATTATCACCATCACCACATCCTGCCACACACACACACACACACACACACACACACACACACACACACACACACACACACACACACACACACACATCTATCTATCTTTCTATCAATCTATCTTTCTATCTATCTATCTATCTATCTATCTATCTTTCTATCTATCTATCTATCTATCAATCTTTCTATCTATCTATCTATCTATCTATCTATCTTTCTATTTATATATCTATCTATCTTTCTATCTTTTTATCTATCTATCTATCTATCTATCTATATACATATACATACTAACATACTAACCGCAGCATGATTATCACCACCAACCTCACGGCCCACAACTACTGAGACTGATTGTGTCCTTTTATCTCCCCAAAGACTCCTACAGGATCGAGAACCTGGAGAGCGTCTTCATTCACGTCAACTCCTCCCGAAACCGCAACACGCACTGGAAGATGAAAGTGACTCAGGTGTTGTGCAAGGACTTCGTGGGAGAAGATTTCGGAGGCAGCGGAGGAGGAGGAGGAGGAGGAGGATCTCTCGTGGTCACGCCCCCTGGTGAGTAGGGGCCGGGTGTTGGGCTCTCGGTTTTCCGTTGGTTGGGGTTTTGTTTCTTTTTTTTCTTTTCTTTTCTGTTTGTTATGTGTGTGTGTGTGTGTGTGTGTGTGTGTGTGTGTTTTATCTCTCTCTCTCTCTCTCTCTCTTTCTCTCTGTCTCTGTCTCTGTCTGTCTCTCTCTCTCTCTCTCTCGTCGCTGTGAGTACTGTGCTTTTTATTATGTTTCTGTACATTTTACTTTCTTTTCTTTTCTCTTTCTTTGTGTTGCGAGTTTTATTTGTTTTATTCAGTTCTATTTTTATTTTTTTCTCCATCTCCCTTTCACAAAAATGGTATGGATTCAATATTGTATGTATTTGTTTTTCTAGTTTTCTCCTCTCTTCTCTTCTATTCTCTATCTCTCCCTATGAAAACGATATACTGTAGATACACTACTGAAATGCAACAAATCACGAGAAGGAAAGAAAAACGAAAGAAAAAGAAGAGAAAAATAAACAGAAATAAGAAGACCACGCAGGAAAACTTATCGTTCCTTTTTTCGCAGTCTTTCCCCCGCCCCTGCCGACGCACCCGCCCGCCACCTCCCGCCCACCCATCACCTCCCGCCCGCCCACCACCCCGCCCGTCGTGATGCCCCCCGCCCCTCCCCCCACTGCAGGAGGCTTTTCGGCTTGTGGCATCAGAGGGCCTCCCTACAACCAAGGATCGAGGGGGGTGAGTTCCGACTCCGTTGTTCGCAAAAGTTGTTTACTAAGGTTATGTACTAAAGTTGTTCGCAAAAGTTGTTTACTAAAGTTGTTTACTAAAGTTGTTCGCAAAAGTCGTTCACAAAAGTTGTTCGCAAAAGTTATTTAGAAAAGTCTTCTAGACAGGCCTGCATTTCGAGTGCGAGGGACATTACTTTACAAGTAAATTACCTCGCACTGTAAATACCGGTCTTAGATTCTAGTAAAGAGTCGTTTTGGAAGTCTTGAGTAGAAGCGGCGAAGGATGGGAGAGCCCTCCCCCCCCCATGCAGGAAGAGGCCACTCGTATTCACTTCCCCTTCCTCCTCCCCTTCCTCCCCCTTGATGTGTGCTGACCTGCATTCGAATCCCTCGCCGCCAGTGGATGGTAACCCCGGCCATTCCTTGCACACAGGGGATAATTTAGAAGCAAAATAAAACAGACAGCATGTCAGACCAAGAATATCCATTGTAACAAATGGAATCAAACAAAATTATTAATAATTAATTATAATTAATTAATCCTGTGCCACAGCCCGCGGGCCGGCGCCTGCCAGACCCCGAAGTGAAGGGGCCTCGACGTCGCAAGAACCCGGACCGACGCCGCCCCTGGCGACGCCCCGGCAGCACAGACGTCAAGACCGACCGGCGAGGCCAGGTAGCGGGGACAAGGCCCTCGAACATCATCAGCAGCGACAGGTGGGACGTCCCGAGACTTAACGACACGCTCTTCGCCCACTGTGAGTATTTGGACGTCTGCCTGGGGGTTGGGGGTTCTTGCTAAGCCTCTTGTCCTGTCGTCAGAATAATAATAAAAGAAAGAATATAGACGTGATTTAAAAAAAAGAGAGACAATCTAGTATGCACTCATTTCGAAAATCGCCGATGATGCTGTGCGTATCACTGCATTCAGATCGGATTTAGCCAGACTGACATCAACCAATAGAACCTGAGAATATGGAAGCAACTGACACCTGTCGCACCTTACACACATTTGACCAATAACATTGATCAAATCAGCCTATCCCTTAACAGCACACTTCCCTTTACACTTTACTTACACGCAGACATCGATCCAATCAAACCCAACACGTGATTTCCACCTCAATTCCAATCCCTGACTCCACCTCCTCAATCCTCAGACGCGGGAGAGGTGAGCCCCTTCTCGCACCGCATCACCTACGGCCAGGTGTCCGGCCTGAGGGAATTCCCGTGGCAGGTCGCAATGCAGGTCAACGGCAAGTTCCACTGCGGCGGCAGCGTCATCGGAGAGTACTGGGTCCTGACGGCGGCGCACTGCGTCAAGAGGTGAGGAGATAGGGGGAAGGGAGGGGAGGGGAGGGAGGGGGTTGGAGAGGGAGAATGGGAAGGAGAAAGAGGAAAAGGGAGATGCATAAAGAGGTATAGGAAAGTGCAATGTAAGAGAAAAATACATAGATATGTATATCTATCTATCTATCTATCTATCTATCTATCTATCTATATATATATATATATATATATATGTATATATGTATATATACACATATAGTTAGATTGGTAAATAGACAGTTAGGAAGAGAGGGAGAAATAGTAATAGAGATAGATAGACAGAGAGATGGGTAAGTCAATAACTAGATAGGTATATAGATAAATAAAATAAGCATATAACTAGATTGATATACAGATAGATATATAGGTAGATAGATAACTAGCCAGACAGACAGATATACATAGATAGATAGACAGACAGACAGGTAGATAGATAGGCATATAACTAGAGATACATAGATCAACAGAAAAAATAGATAGTTACATAGACAGACAGACAGATAGATACAAAACCATCCAGCATCAAAGCAACAGCCTTTTCACATCTCACTCCCGCCCACAGCTACGAGAACACACCCCAGGCCATCAAGCTGTTCATCGGAGACTGGGACTTGGGAACGACGAACGACGGCCCGAGTCTGACCGCCTCCGTCGCCAGGGTGAACGTCCATCCTCAATACTCGAAGCCCGCCCTCCAAAACGACATCGCCGTCCTC